TTAGAGGCATCTAAATCAAGTTTTATTTCTGCATGTTTTTATTTGTAATACACACATACATATTTATGTATATGGATGTGATGATGTTTTAAAACTAAAAAAAAATCTCATTAAGTAGTTTTCATGAAAAAGTGATTGCAAGTATAACCAACAGTGTACTAAATGCTGTCGCGAACACCAGCTGATTGCCTACTCTTATAAATTAGGAGTTATAAATGTACGACAAAATTTTGAAAAAAATGTAGCAAAAGTTGCCAATTTGTAGGTTAAGTTCATTTGCAACAATACAAAGTTTTATAATCTTTAGCTGGGCGATTTAATCAATCAATTTCGGCTTATTGCTTGTTTTCATTATCGTTTATTTATCTTTTTACCTTTTTGTTAATATAACCTAACATTACGCAGTAAATTTACGCTGAGTGTATATGTATGTACGTATGTACGTCTCTCCTAATGCAATTTTTTGACATTTTTATCTTTAATTGCTAATTTTAATAGGAATCTGTCGAGCCTGAAGTGGTTTGCATTTCATATTCATTATTATATAATTTAACTTTTTTCTATTACATATTTCTTTTTAAATGTTGCATTTCGAGTGAAAAAAATATGCATACATACTACAGTATAATGCATTGTATATTCTATATACATACATATATACAAAAAATGTGTATCTAATTAATACATACATATGCATATACAACAGATGTATGTCCTCCCTCCCTTTCTCATTCTTTCGATTCCCATGAGGCGCGAAGGCGTGGATTAGAATTTCAATGGTTGTGAAGAATACGAAAAATAGAATAAGCGAAATAAAGGTAATTTACCAACGATATACTACTAAAAATCAAACTTGCAAGACTATAAAGCAGTCGAAAGCAATTTAATTTTTTTCCGGAAGATTTGAAATATAGAAAACAGAAAAAGATGATTGAAAAAGTATTTTAATAACGGACAAACTTACCTACATGTCTTTAGCTTTGAAAGATGTAATAAAATTGAAAATAAATCTCTCATTTATTTTAGAATCATTAATAATTACTATGGAATAATAATTTTTGTTAAGTAGCCGCCATTGTATTCAACTCAAAATATTATTTTCTTGTTACATAAGATTTTAATCATATACGAAACGAAAATATTAACAAACATTTCTAAGTTTCATTTCACATAAAAGCTTGTAAAAAAAGAGCAAAGTCACAATTGCACACAATGTTATCCGTTTAAAAATAAGCATGTGAATCAAAATTTCGTTTATTTTTTCGAAATTGCATAAGCAATTGGTTCTTTTTTGCACAACACTGCNCTAACATTACGCAGTAAATTTACGCTGAGTGTATATGTATGTACGTATGTACGTCTCTCCTAATGCAATTTTTTGACATTTTTATCTTTAATTGCTAATTTTAATAGGAATCTGTCGAGCCTGAAGTGGTTTGCATTTCATATTCATTATTATATAATTTAACTTTTTTCTATTACATATTTCTTTTTAAATGTTGCATTTCGAGTGAAAAAAATATGCATACATACTACAGTATAATGCATTGTATATTCTATATACATACATATATACAAAAAATGTGTATCTAATTAATACATACATATGCATATACAACAGATGTATGTCCTCCCTCCCTTTCTCATTCTTTCGATTCCCATGAGGCGCGAAGGCGTGGATTAGAATTTCAATGGTTGTGAAGAATACGAAAAATAGAATAAGCGAAATAAAGGTAATTTACCAACGATATACTACTAAAAATCAAACTTGCAAGACTATAAAGCAGTCGAAAGCAATTTAATTTTTTTCCGGAAGATTTGAAATATAGAAAACAGAAAAAGATGATTGAAAAAGTATTTTAATAACGGACAAACTTACCTACATGTCTTTAGCTTTGAAAGATGTAATAAAATTGAAAATAAATCTCTCATTTATTTTAGAATCATTAATAATTACTATGGAATAATAATTTTTGTTAAGTAGCCGCCATTGTATTCAACTCAAAATATTATTTTCTTGTTACATAAGATTTTAATCATATACGAAACGAAAATATTAACAAACATTTCTAAGTTTCATTTCACATAAAAGCTTGTAAAAAAAGAGCAAAGTCACAATTGCACACAATGTTATCCGTTTAAAAATAAGCATGTGAATCAAAATTTCGTTTATTTTTTCGAAATTGCATAAGCAATTGGTTCTTTTTTGCACAACACTGCATATCAATTTTGTCATAGCAGATGTGAAATGTGTTTCAATTATTTTCATCAAAGATCATCCAAAACAAGAAACATTCAATTATTCAAAAGTTGCCCAGATCATAATCAAATAATAAAAAATCACTTTAGATAGTTTATTGTTCTTTTTTTTCTAAGTAGGAATCTATTGAATTTCGTTTAAAAATTACAAACGCCAAACTCTAATCCAAATAAAACGTCCAACGATAACGACGTCGATTTTAAGGAATTCCAATAAAGCCACGAAGTTTCGAAATTACAAACGTTTTAAAGGTATTTTAGCAATTTTTTAAATTAAAAGTGCTGTATGGTATTTGTAATTTTGCGAAATTCCGAAAATATAAATCTTACAAATATTGCAGTCAGTAAGAGTAATACAAAAATTTACAATTCGCACCAATTTTGTTCATTCTACAAATCGCCAACACAACACTTTCTCCCCCAAATTGGTTATTCGAAGTCCCAACAGACGCCATAGACACCACACTCTTTCGCATCTTTCTTTCACTCAACTTTCATTACTGCATACATATTTGCACAGTAACTTTTATTTTAATATTAATGTGAGGTTATTTATTTACAATGTTCCCGCACCTATTGCTCTGAAAAATAATTTTTGTTAAGACTTTTGAAAGGTTTTATTCGTAAACTTGCGAATTATATTTGAAAGATTTAATTAAGATTCGTGAATGAAATTTCCTGTTCCCCAGGTTAATAGAAGAGAACGTTTGCAAATCAATTTTAAAATGTTTTATTAAGATATAAATTAAATTCGAAATCAATTTTTTAATCATCTGCATTTTGCTTGAAGTTTTCGAAAATTGTGAAATCAAGTGAGACAAAGGCACCCGCGTATGAAATGCAGTAGGGGTATTCACCTAACTATCGTAAATTTGCCAGTACGGCACAAATGCTTTGCTGCGAACAACAACCTTTTTATCTTACTTTTGTTAGTCTGGCAAATGGTATGTTGAAACAGCTATATTTTTTTTATTTTTCGAGCTGGTCCAATTTTTTAAAACAATTAAATTCAAAAAAGGTGAAATAAAGAAACGTAAATAGTTTTACTACGGAGCTCTTAACAGCTCCTTTACGTTGTCATAACAATTTTATGGCTCTTTTCTGATAGATATTTTTTTTTTAGTTAAGATAAAACCAGCAGAAAGTATAGTGATAAATGTTGATAATTATCTGTTAAGGTACAAACCTAATGAAAGGGCAAATACATTCATAGTAACGTTCAAGAGGGCTTTTACTTGACTCACTAGTGCTTTCATTACATTAACAAAAATAAAATAAACCTAAAACTGTCAAGTGCCGAAGTAACGAGATCAGTGTGAATATCCCTAGAGTATGCGCGGTAGGTAGATGTATATTGAGTTAAAAATTTCCTATTCAGCAATATAACAAAAAGCTTAAGCTGTAACAACAAAAACCGTTGCAACTTACGTGATTTTCATGTAACGTTCGGTATGATAAATCATTTTCTTTGCAACGCCCTAGTATTGTCACTGGCTAGATATCGGTCTCAAACAATTATAAACAAAGAGCATTCCACCGGAATCCTAACGAAATTTCTTAAATTCCAACTAACTGCCCACTATTTAAATTATGAAAACATTTCAAGTTTTTTTTTTTTTTTTTTGGTTTTACACCATACGTATATTCTAAATCTTATCGTACATTATATAAATTTATATTGTTTGCATATTTTAATTATTGTTATTGTATACTATATTTCTGCTGTACGAATGTGGTATACAATTATGTAACTGTTTCTTATGCATTTGTGGCTAGCAATTAGCTCAAAATATTCACATTCGAGATACTCGTACATACATTAGTTTTCATACTGGAGTTCAACCGCACTTGTTTGTAAAAATATTTCGGAATATATTCTTCTTTTATTTATCCTTGTGTCTTTGTCTTGACATTCTTATTTCCTCTGGCGTGTGGGTATATTTTTTCAAATGGTAAATGGAAATTAAAATATATTTTTACAAAATCAACGAAAAAATAAAATAAATCTTCAAATTTTGTTGTTTGTTTAACATACATATACGCATGTAATGTTAGTTTAAAGAGTCAAATAAAATAATAAGCCGATAATCAATGAATTAGCCGGAAAATTTAATAAATTCCAGTGCGTTTATGTTTTCAGTCAAACGCACGCCTACATTTATTGCTCCACGGGATAAGGAGTATGGGATATTATCATATTTTCTTTCTGTTTCTTAATTGCCCCTAAACTATGAGTGTCTCTCTTTAATCCTAACTTTTATTGCTAAAGATACAATAAATCAAAAATTAGCGGAACAAATTAATAAAAATAAAAAAATAATAATTGTGTGAGTTGTTTGACATTATTATTCAAAGATGCCTTTATTACTACTCAATCTTGCTGTTGGAATTATAATTTTTCTTTCTTGTTGCTATTTTGATATATGGTAAATGTATGTGTGGCCGTCAGTATACAGAATGAGCATCATATGGAAGGTTAGTTAGTTCGGGAGTTGCATTTTATATTGGTTTTATGAAAATTGAATAGCGTTTGAAAGTACGTACATACTTGGTTTTATACGCGCTGCAAAGATTTTAAAAGCCGTGTTGTGTTAAAGTATTTGTTATCTGCAGTACTGCATCGTATATATTGATTTCCATGCTAGTGGTTCCTAGAACTATAGCTACTTCTTAGCCTTGATTTTGCATTTGCAGCATGCATACATACTACATTATTATTATACATTGAGTTGCATGTANTTTTTTTTTTTTTGTTTGCTTTCTGTTTGTTGTTCTTATCTCATTCAGTATTTCTTTCTTTAATCACTTAAAAATTACGTTCTATAAGTTCCATTTTTTGTGGAAAATTAATTCTTTCATTTTTTTGTTTTTGTTTTTATCTTATGCTCCTTTGTTTTGTTTTTGTTGTTTTTTATAATTTTTTTTTGTGTGGTTTCTTAAATCTATTGATTTTCATCATCATCGCCATCGCCATCATCATCGCCATGCTCCTCATGCTGTTGTGCACTGGCAGCTAGTAACGCGGCTTTCTGCGCTGCAGCGGCTTGTGCTTGCATTGAGGGGGCGGACATCGGTATTTTCCCGCTGGTTTTGTACTCGGTCATTTCCTGAAATAAAACAATGCAAAATACATACATATTAATTGCTTTTTGCTCCAAATAACGGTTAATGCATTTGGGTTTAAGCTAATTAAGTCACATTACTTACCCGCTCATAGCGCGCCTTGTCCTTCTCAGCCATTAGCTCGTACTTCTGTTTAACCTCTGGATCCACATCGGACCATTTACGACCAAGTTCCTTGGCAATATCGCCAACGCCATATTCTGGATTCGCAGCCTTAACTTTGTTGCGTTCGTCATTGCAAAACCAGAAGAATGCAGATCTAAAATGTTTAAAACGAGATTTCGTTAGATTTCATATTCTAAAGCAACGGTTCGACTATTTGTAAAAGTTAAATGAATGCATTGTTAGCTACGAACTCACAATGATCTTTTCGGCGCATTCGGATCCTTAATCATTTTCCTCTTCTTGCCACGCCCAACTACTGTGCCCTTGGGGGGTACATAATTTGACATTTCCATCTCATACCGCGCCTTATCCTTTTCGGCCATCTCATGGAAGCGCTTCTTCTCTTTGTCCACCATTGTCTAAAAAAAAAACGAAAAAGTGGTTGAATTAAAGTAAACATACTTACATATGTATGTACATACATATATACATTTATAAGTACAGATATTTTAAAGAGCTATTACATTGTTCTACATGATAAATAAAGGCTGCAAACCATACTGGAGAGTAGAGAAATCTTATGGAATATGTAGAGACGCATTTCCGAAAAAAGCGACACGATTTGGTGTTATAAAGCCATCATCATGTCACGGTGGGCAGGAAGCGAAGATAGGTTGCATAAAAATGTCGACAAAATCTGAAAGCAGGGTTGTATTTGTTGATATCTTAAGGTTAAGAATCCGCTTAAATTGAAATCCTAGCTGCTCCTGTTTTAAAGATATCCACATTTTATATACTTCTGATAGGATATATTTGCAAAAGAGGAAGGCGTACTTAATTAGAGCATATTTATACGAAAAGAAATCTCATACAAATCTGTTCCCCTTTTTTAACTCACTAAAACGGATCAAATCAATGTGAAACATTTTCATTTTTTCCTACCGAAAGAATAATTGATCGAGATTTATTGGGCGCTACCGGTATACAACTTAGATAAAACACCACAATTACCTTTTTCTGTAGCGTGAACTTTCTCATTACAAACACTTTCAATATCGCAATATATGTATGTATGTATACAATATTGTATGCTATATAATACGGTAGTAATTTTTTATTAAAGGTTTGTTGCTATAAGCAAGTAGCGCAGGCAAGTCGCACTGCGCTTGTGCAAGAAATAAAAATGCTCTAACTTAGGCCAACGGTACTCCGCATAATAAGTAAATAAATTCAAAGCTTGTATGAGATTTATTTTGGTATTTATGTACTCTTCTGTCAGGAAATAATGACTATTGTACATCCAGAACACAAATGCGATCATGAAGAAAATCGCATGAAAGTATGCGCTTTGTGTGTAGGGCTGCCAGACGTCCCGGTTTTCCCGGACATGTCCCGGTTTTAGACTATTTGTCCCGGTGTCCCGGTCCAACCTTAAAATGTCCCGGGTTTCATTTAAGTGTCCCGGTTTTCGATTTGATTGCACAAATTTTGCTTAAAAATGACTACGCTGAGAGAAAAAGGCGTTGTAATATTAAGAAAAATTTTATGAATTTACTGGGGGAAATAACGCATAGTAAACATGAATATGTTTTATTTGATTATCGTCTTGAAATGTTCGTACTTAAAAACAATACTTTCATACCACGCACACGTGGTGTTAAATCAAACTGAACATTTGAATGCACATTTACATGTCTGGCTGTAGCTGAGTGCACGAAGATGCTTGCCACAATTTGCTAATTTCCAGAGCGTCAGGGTTCAAATCCCGTTAAGTGCAAAGCGCTTCATTTTAATATTGGCGTATTTCAATTGAATATTACTATACTAAATACTAAAATTTGTATACTTAAATTATTACGAGTTGGGTTGGTGCTCTTTCATATGCGATTTTTTTTTTTAAATGTAGCACGTTTTGCATAAGCAATAGTTGATGATTAATATAAGTATGTACCTAAATACGTTAAAATGGAATGCACAGAGTTTTACAATTATAGCAAAAGCCAGAAGTTTTGAAACAAGCTCACAGCAACGAAACAAATGACTGATATTTTAATG